CTTTCGTCCCGCTGCGACTCTTCCTACTTGCGCCCTTGCCCCGCCCTTGCTTCCTTTCGACTTCCACAATTTTACTATGACCTCTCCCCTCCCCTGCTAGTGCTTCTCTCCGCCCCGCTCTGAATCCCTCCTGTCTCCGACTCTCCGCAACCCGCTCGTCTCTCCCATCGTCTTGCTCTCGAACCTCCCTTACACTCTCACCAACCTGCCCCCGGCTCGCTCCGACCTGCTTCCTCCTTTCCCGCTTCGACCCGTTCGGTACCTCTCCTAGATCCTCTCTCTGCCTCCCTCCGCCCTTCTCGTCCGCTTCCGAACCTCTACCGCTTCAAAGCTCTGCATGTCAGTGGCCTGCCCTCCTCACTCGTATGACATGACATCCCCGTCGCGCCGGCCCGTTCACCTTCGGCCTGTCCGGTCCGTTCCTCGCTCATGCGCCCTTCTCACTCATTCTCCGTTCTGCTTTGTCTATCGGCCTCCCCGGGCTCGCCACGGCATTGGCAGAAGAATGCGCGCTGCGACGCGCGGCGGCGGCGGCGGTCAATTAGAATATGCAGATGCGCCGCGTCACGGGGTCTCCGGGGAGGGAGCGCCAGCCCGGGTGGGTGCAGGAGAAGGCTGGAGAAGAATAGAGATCGGCTTCGCCGTCGGCGTGCGAACCGCGCGGAGCTCCGTGGAAGACGCGCCTCGCGCGCCGGTCCGCGAGCGCACCTCGGCGCTTCTGTGGCTCCGGGTCGTCCTCGCGAAGCGCCGCTCCTGGCCCTGGCGCGCATCTCCCGCCCCTTTCGCCAGCCGCCTCGTCTGTCTTCATTCACTCTCTCCGGTCCAAACCGCGCCTATGAACCCCTCTGCGTTGCGCTCAAGTTGCCGCTCTTTGCTCCTTCTTTTTCTAATTTCCCCCCTCCTTACCACCATTGTCCTGCCATGTCTACGTACGCCTTCCTTCGTACGCCTTCCTTCGGAGGGGAAGTTAAGCGGCTGTCCCATGTTGGATAGATTTACTTGCCATGTAAAAGATTCTCAGCCTAAATTGACGCCTCTGAGCTAAATTCAAATCGCCTGTTTCTCGGCCAAGAAATCCCTCCTTCTCCGCTATGTTGATGTAAGGAGCGTAGCTTAAATTTGCGTGGTGAGACGGAAGAGCGGGCCTGATGGCCGCGAGATCTCGACCACGTAAAATATGCCAATTCAATTCATGCAATTCCCAATTTCAAATTCAATGTCTACTCCTTCCCGCCCTGATTCTTCGCGATGCGCAATTCACTTTGCCCCAGTATGTCTTATCTGTCTCGATCTTTCAAAGCCTTCGTTCCAACGTCCCTCTTTGTCCTTCTCCATTGTATTTCAATTCTCTGTAACCCCTTTTCGGTCTATCTCCCCTCTATGACCGCTCCAGTCCTTGCTTCCGATCACTCCTGATAATCCACTACACATCTTCAAAGCCAAACCCCCGCTCCTCTCGCAGCAACTATCCAACTTACGCCCTGGCTTCATTTTGTTCCTGCTAAATCCGAGAGCGCGAGGCGCAACTACTAAAGCTTTGCACGCCCTCCCCGCTTGTCGTTCTGTCGTCTTTTTCGTTTCCATCCTGCAGTTCACTCTAGCCAGGGTTTATCTTATATCTGCTCTCACTGTATCAATCTCCTCTTTGTTCTCCTCTATTGCCCTATCGTTTCTGAGTTTCCTCTCTCTCTCTTTCTCTCCTCCATCTGTCTTTTCTCTCTCTCTTTTTCCGTTTTAACGTTTTGTCACTTTTGTATCTGTTCCTGCTGGCATCCACTTCTTTGCGATGTTTTTTTCTCACTTTTCAGTCAGCCCCCCGTCCTGCACCGTGTCATTCTCACGCTCGCGAGCGTCTGCTGTGAGATAAATCGCTAAGCGCTTTCTCTTGCTTGCGATTAACCATTTTCGCGCTAATTTTAGAGTCCGAGGTACCAAGATATTGCACTGTGGTGCACCGCCTGAGACTCATCTCGCCAGTAGCTTGGCGAGATCCTACCAGCGCAGCTTATTTCAGAGATTCGAGTCCCCTCTTCTTTCTTATTGCCTTGTCCTGACAGCTGCGCCCGCCCCGTCGGCCCGAGCTCCACATCATACCCTCTCGGTCCTCACTCACCACTCACTCCGCAGAGACACGTACGCCCGGCGCGTGAAAGCAGCACTACAGCTTGCCCTGCACTGCGTCCGGCCACGCGAACCCTTGACAGCCTTCCACGCTATTTTCGACTCTGCGTCCGCACAGTAAACACTGCTCACGACTCACATTATACCCCTCACGCAGCTATACGAGCCCGACGAATACCGAGCACATCGGGCACTCCGGGCCCGGGACAACCGCCCGCCACACCGCCCGCACCCGCCCGCACCGCCCGCGGCGCCCAGCGCGCCACGCCGTGCCCACCTTCGTGCCCACCTTTTGTCCACCCGCCTCCGCCCACCCCCGCCGGCGGCGCCCAACCCGCGCCACCGTCTCCGCGACCGCGCCCAGCCCGCGCCCGCCCGCCCCCGCGCCCGCTGCGCCCGCCCCGCGGCCGCCCCGCGCCCGCCCGCGCCCGCCCCCGCCCCACCCAGCGCCCGACGCCCCCGCGCCGCCACCGCGCCCGCACCGCGCCCGCCACGCGCCCGCCACCGCGCCCGCAACCGGGGAGGACTGTGGAATGTCGGAAGGAGTAGGGCGTGGCGGAGCAAGACGTAGAGAGGTGTGGCGGCTGCGAGAGCGACGGGTGTCTGTGGAAGGTCGCACGCCGTGACGCCGGTCAGCAATAATTCCGCTGGCTGTGACCCTACGAAGCCCGCCTCAGTGAAGCAGACGTTTCACTGAACCGCCAGCTCTGGTTGCCATCCATTTGCCCCGGTGGGCTCTTCACGACGGACAGCACGACTCGCAGGGGTAGTGCATTGCCTTTGTAAGTGCGTAGGAAATGGGACCGACTTACATGAAACGGTTGTATATTTTACGACGGAAAACTTGATTCCTGCTTGTAAGCAGGGTTAACAAACGAAGATCGGAAGCCGAAAGAACGACACCGAACGATAAGAATGTAGAAGAATGCAAAAAGGTTTGAGAATGTGAAAATTTTAAGGAATAATCAACGACGAATAATCAACATTGATGAATGGATGAAAAAAAAGAGGTTGTCACGGTTCTTTTGTTAAAGTACAAAAGATGAAGATAAATCATAAATACCTCCAATTCTTTGTGTTGTCAGAATACAATTTCTTTGATAATTCCAAAATTACGTTTTTCAGATGCCCTTTTGCAGAAATGGCATCATCAGGGCGAAGAGAAGGCGAATATCGAGGGTTCGAAAACACTTTTGAATCATCACTAACAACATAATGAGCTTCATCGGCTTGTGAACTTAATTTAGGATAATTCACCACAATCCCCTTCTATTGTGCCTGCGCATATCTCTAAACCTTAGTACAATGCTTTGTACGTATAATCTAGGTTCTGAGAACTGCATGTATGAGAGGCACGCAAAAGGAAGCTTTTCCTTGACAATCAGTTCTAACGAGACGTTCCAG